TTCTTTGCTTTGTACATATCTTCTTCCATTCTGTGGGTTACCTTTTTACTCTCTTAATAAATCTTTTGACTAACGGAAAATTCTAATTTTTTTTTTTTCAATTTATGCCTACAGCACCTGGTCTTCCTAGGTGATCTCCCATCCAAGTACTAACCGGCCCAACCCTGCTTAGCTTCTGAGATCAAACATCGGGCTTGTTCAGGGTGGCATGGCCGTAGACCAGGGACTGTGGCTCCACTGGGGTGTGAACCCAGGACCTTCTGCGTGTAAAGTAGACGTGCTAACCGCTACACGGTGGAACCACGTCTGGAAAATTTTAATTTTAATGTAGTTCAATTCACTAAAAGTTTTTTCTGATTATTGATATGGGTTCAGTTTAAGAAGTGAGTCCCTTCCCTAAAGCCATGAAATCATTCCTATATATTTACTTAAATATAGAAGTTTTATTGGTTTGCCTTTAACATTTAACTTAGAGCTACAGTCCATATGGAATTAATTTTTTATGAGTATGTTTAGTTTGAGGGTGAAGGTTTTGTTCCTAGGTCAATATCCTGTTGTCTGTTACCACCCTTTAGTGAAAAGACCATTCTTTCCCACTGTTGTGCATTGCCACACTGATCATAAGTCAGGTGTCCATAAAGTAGGTGTCTCTTTCTGGGCCTTCTGTTCTGTTCTGTTGATCTTATAATCGTGCTAATATTCTATTCTTAACACCCAGTAGAGCAAATCTTTCAATCTTGTTTTTCTTCTTAAAGATTACCTTTTTGGTCATTTCTGGTTGTTTTATGTTTCAATATAAATATTTTCTATTCAATTTGTTGTTTGATTTTTAACTTTATTGCATTGTGGTTAGAGAACATACTCTGTGATTTCAGTCCTTTAAAGTTTGTTGAGACTTGCTCTCTGTGTCTCATCATGTGGTCAGTTTTTTAAAATGTTCTGGTCTTCACGAAAAGCATACCTCTCCAAATAAAGATAATCTTTTTTTCTTATGAGATATTCTTTGTGAAAGTAGAAAAATAAAAGGAAACCCCCATCACCAACTATAGAATTGTCCACAACATTTAGGAATGTGCGCTTAAGGGCCAAGAAAAATGCCAAAAGTTTACCAGACTGTCTTGAGAGCAGGGTTCATAGCTGATCCCTGGCAGAGTACTGCACACAATTCAAGCTCGATCAATGTGTGCTTATTTTTTGTGCTTATGTGTGTGCTCACATATCAAACGCATGCGAGTTAGTATTACTCAACACACAAATTTTTTTCCTTTGCCTTGAATGCACCCAGCCGTTAGCTAACAACTCCCAGAAAAGGATGTTGTAAAACTTTAGAAACATTTGCTTTCAGGATCTGCCAGAGCATCTTTTGGAGATCGAAAGGCGGAACTTTCCAGTTCATTCCATCATGGACCCAACTATGATGTATATAACCCATTCTATATGTATCAGCACTTTTCACCAGATTTGATTCGGCGCTTTCCTCCTCGTTCAGAAGTGACAAGACTGTATGGATCGGGTCTGAAAATAATTTTTTTTTTTCCTCTTTGTGGTGTTCTTTTAACAAATGTAGAAATCAAATGAAATCTAAGACCCTGGAAAAACTGATTCTTATTCCAAAAAACAATTTAAAATTTAAGAGAAAAGCAGGCTTCAGAAGTGATGTGATAAACATCATGACTTCTTCATGGTATTATATCTAATATACAATAATTGAAAGATTAATAAGTTGTGTTTAGTAGTTCCAAATTCCATTGTATTTTTCCTTTTTTGAAAGTTTTATTTACAGACTATTTTGTAGGTATTTTACATATCATTTATCCATTCATAAATTCTACAACAGGTATTTACTAGCTTTTTCCTTTTCTGCTCTATTCAGTGAAAATGATGAATTTAGAAACTCACGATATGATTAGAGATGTAAGCGAAGAAAATAGAAAATGGCTAAATGATTTTAGAACTTTCTTAGTTTCATATTTGAGACTGCATCAGTTGTAGTCTATCTCGTACGTATCTGATTCACAAACTTCTCAGTTTTCAAGTCTTTTATATATACAGCTATTTCAACCCCGAATTCAGGGTGAGGTACTAAAAGTAAAGCAGAAATATTTATTTAAATACTTATATACGAGCGCATAGAATTCAGTATTGATTTTTTTTTTATAAGTGCTCATAAAATAGTTGAATTCATTTAGCACAGAGGACTTACATCCTCTTAGATTATTCTTCTGGGATGAAGAATTGGGGAATGTAAGCAAAAAGAATGAATTTTCCCTGCTCAATATTTGATGTGGATGTGAAAATGTATTGTTTGATTTATGTTGGTTTCCGTTTCAGACAAAAGTAAAATAATTGGAAAAAAATTTTTTACCTTCAGTAGAAGGCTTTATCTCTTAAGTAGATTTGCATATAATATTGATGATGCATTCCTAAAAAGATGTAGTTCATTTTAAGTAGAATTCCAGTGTTTCTTCTTCGCCATAAAAATAAGTCATTTTCTCATATACCTTTGTAGTTTGTGATTTAAGGACCAGCAAACTCGCTGGTTCCCCTGGACTGAGTAGGTCTATGTTTGATCTTACAAGTTCGTCTCAGCGGTTCATCCAGGTAAAATATTTATATAAATTTAATTATATTCAACAATTTATTTTCAAGCTAAAAATTCAGAAATGTGTGAATTACGTTAGGAACAACATGTGTATCTTTTGTAGTTGTATCTATTCTAATATCTGAAGAATAAACACTTGGCATTTCCCATGTGCATTTTTTTAGGAAGCTTTCAACTGAATACTAAAAGGCAGTAGTTTTTCTTTTGTTTATTTTTTTTATGAGTCTTACATCTTCAGTTGGTGTATACTCAGACAATTGGAATTTAAAATGGTATATAGTTAAAAGTAGTTATTGATTTAACTTTTCTTACTGAACATAACTACCTAGTTAGTAAAAATTAGTGTTTCTATTGAGATATAGGACTTAAGTTATTCATTAATATAGCACAGTGTCCTTTGTTAGAAATAGAGTTGAGAATTTTTGATATTTAAAAAATATTTCTTTTTTTAAACAAGTAATTATTAAAAAATTAGAAAGTAGACTTAAGCAAACTGAAAAGACAGATCACCTCAATTCCTATAACTGAGAGTAAAAGCACCATGAAAATATCATTTATATATACCTGTGGGCTTTTTTAAGGTGAATATATATACACATATATTTTATTAAAATGGAAGTGTTTTCTAAATAATCCTAATAATTTTCAGTTGAGTTCATTGTTTGTAGACTTAATTTTTCATAGCACAAGTTCTTTAACATGCATAAAATTGTGTGGAGAGCTTGTTAAAACACAGATTGTGAGGCCTCACCACCAGAACTTGTGATTCAGTAGCTCTGCAGTGGAGCCTGAGTTTGTATTTCTAACAGTTTCCCAGATGATGCTGATACTCCTGGTCCAGAGGGACCACGCTTTGATAACTGCTGCTTTACAGGTTTTAGGTAATATGGCACTTCCAAATTTATTCTGATTTTTGTTGGTACTTTCAAGTATGAAACATAAGCAGTGATTTCTTCCCCCTTATTACAAAAGCAAACCAAAACCAGCAAAGGCTTTCCCATGTGTTATCTAGTAAATTTAAGATTTTTCTGATAACATACACAAAAGTCTTTTTTTCTTCTTTTCTTTCTAAAAATGGAAAATTCTGATGAGTAACACTGTCAAATGGTTAGCGTGCAGTTTGATACTAGGGTAGGTATTATTTCTGAATCCTTAAAGTTTGATATACAGTTTTTGGCTAAAGAAGAATTTTATTTGTAGAGACAAGATTCATTGTCCAGTATGCCCAGTAGTTCGTCGTCGAGGAAAAATTCTCAAGGGAGCAACAGAAGCCTAGGTAAGGAATAAAGTATCCCATTTTTTAAAATATATATTCTTAACGAAATTATTTCTACTCTAGTAATGTGAAGTTATATGGTAAGGTAAAAATACTCTAGATAACTGTGTTATCTGCATGTGAATGCATAGATCAGATGGTTTGTTTTTTAGTGTTCAGTAATGAATACATCTTTTTAAAAAATGAGGCAATTAAATATCTTTTGGTTTTTGTTTTAAATTATATTAGTGAAGGAACTTCCTGAAGCATACTGTATGAAGGTCATGTCAAGGTTATTTGGGAAACTTTTTCTTAGTTTTAACTTAAATCTCTCAGGGTATAATTAGGTTAGGTTTTTAAGCCATGTACTCTTTACAGTAGATCTTAACCCTAGCACTTCCATAAAACATTGAAGTGTGATTTTTGTCTTATTAAATTGGCAACTTTAAAAAATAATTGTAGCATTTCTCAGCTGTGCCTTTAAAACTGGATGGTGTCAAAGCTTAATTGGGTCAGAAGGATTGCATAGCATCTCAATCGTCTTTGTCCTTTTATAATTCAGATACTATTACTCTATCAGGAGATGAAAGAGATTTGGGGAGATTGAATGTGAAAGTGTTTTACAATTCTTCAGTAGAGCAGATCTGGATCACAGTTTTACAGGTAAGCAATTTTAATGAATACCAACTTTTCCTACAAAATTGAATTTTAGACATTATAAGCATCTGCTATTGTTTTCTTCTAGGGAAAGGGGTCATTACCTTGTTTAGAATTTAGGGTTCTATAGTATTTTGCAGAAAATAGTATTTAATAAAGAATCTAAAGAAAATAAATGTATAGGTATGATGGAAGTATGTTTGCTTTTAACCTCAAAGAAATTGATGTGATGTCTACAACATTAAATGTCAAATTATTTTATTTTATTTATTTTTTAACGTTAAATTATTTTAATGTGGATGAAACAAGAGGTCTCAGTAAACTAACGTTCACTTTTATGGTTTTTATCTAAAGTTGTTAAGTCAAGAAATACATAAAATATTGATATCGTCAGCATCCTTTGTAAACTTCAAACTGTATTCTTAATTTTTTTAGTGCCGAGATTTAAGTTGGCCTTCTAGTTATGGAGACGCTTCTACTGTTTCTATAAAAGGAATACTAACGTTGCCCAAACCAGTGCATTTCAAATCTTCAGTCAAAGAGGTCTCCAGTGTAAGTGGCTGTGTTTGCTTCATTTGAGTTTAAAAATTAAACATGTTATATATACTGTATTATTGGTGTGATTCTGTGGCTTAAGATGAAAAAGAAAGCGTAAGTGGTTGGGAGGCTCTCAGAAGCACAATTCTGACTACACGGATGAACAATTTCAATAAAAGAGAAAATATCTAAAATAGCAATGATTGCTCAGACATCTTGCCTTTTCAAAAGGCAAAAAGAAAAAAAAAAGAAAAGCTTCTTTTCAGAGAGATGCATTAAAGATGGAAAGATGGAAGTGTGTAACAAAGAATGGTCTAGTGTCAAGAAGCCCTGGTAAGCCAAGGTTTTGAAAATATTAGAACTTTTGAAAATAGTCTGGAAAACACGGACTTGCTGTGTGGGGTGGATGCTCATGAGAGAAGGTAGAACTTTATACTCATATTTTCTTTTTTCTTCTTTACTAAGGAGATCGATTTTCATATTGGAAAGAGTTGAACAAACAGCACCAAAAGAGAAATCATTAGACAAAGAATCGCTCCTTTAAAGAAATAATTCAAGTCTTTTAACGAGAGCAAGTTAGATTTTGGATCCTGAGAGAGCTTGTATGAGATTCTTGAACCACTCTTATTTATAATTGAAGAGTTGTGGTAAATAGCAGGAAAGATGCCCCAGATGGAAAACAACCTAATTTTTAAAAAGGGGAAAAGCTGTATTCTGGTACACTTGGTGTTGATATTGACCTGAATTCCTGACTACGTAATTAAAAGGATGATTTGGAAAATTAAAGGCAATATCTTGGATAAATTCTGGAAAAACAAATCATGGTCACTCTCATTTTTGTTTACATTAAAAAATATTTTTTATTGTTGTAAATTAAATCTACCTTTCCTAGATTATAAAATGTTATTTTTGTTTATTTCGTATTGGCATATCATCCTTTTTTCAGTCCTTTTATTTATATATTTTATATTTTCTTGGTGTTTTTTTTTTTTTTTTTAGACTATCGAATTTATGGAGACTTTTGTATTTGCTATTAAACTCCAAAGTCTACAGACTGTGAGGCTCGTATTTAAGATTCAAGCCCAGACTCCCAGGAAGAAGACCATTGGGGAGTGCTCACTGTCACTCAGAACCCTTAGCACTCAGGAGATGGATTATTCTTTGGATATAACACCACCTTCAAAAATTTCTGTAAGTGATGGTAGTATATGACTTTAAATGTATTTCATACTTTTAGAATTGTTTAGTGGATGAGTTTTGGTTTGTCGGAGTGTAACTGGAATACAGAGAGGGTCAGGAAGGCTCTCAAGAAGCAATATAATAGTAACGATAATAATGTCATTGCTTAATACTATTTTTAAAATAATTGATTAAAGGTTAATAGAGCCCCTTTTCTTTCTCCATTGGAAAATAACTTAGGGTTACTATCTCCTCTTATATTTTTATTAATGTTCCATACTTTAGGGGAAAATAACCCTGAAGTATGAATAATTTTAAAATTATAGTTAATTATTTTAAGTTTTTTTAGTAGCTGATAACTTAGGAAAAGCAGGAATCACAATCATAAAGTCCAAACTCAATCAACTATTGCCTTGAAATAGGTTAGGCAAGTTGTTTTAATAATGAGTAAGCTATATATATCTATCCATAAATTGGGTACAATGGAAGTTCTTAAAGCTGGTGTTTTTTGTAAAGAACTTGATTATCTATAGGGCTAATTTATTTTTGAGACCTGATATATGCTTCTCTCAACTAACCAGCTGAACACCGTCATTAAATTATTTAGAAATCCTTAATAATTATATAGTTTCTATGTCAGGATAACATATATAGAAATCATCCATAAGCTTTTGTAAGTTCAAACGTATATGTGATTTTAAATTTATATAGGATTTATATAAAATACAAGATATAACAATTTTATATTTTAAATATAAATATATATTTAAAAATAGTTAAGATGACTTGAAAAATATTTAAGATGACTCGAAATGGTTCTTCAACACGGCTCACATTAGAATCACCTAGGGAGCTTTAAAAAATACCCACACCTAAACTAGTTAAATCAGAATATTTCGGAGATGGGGCCAGAGGCATTCGTAGGTTTCAAAAGCTCCCCAAGTGGTTCTAATGTGTAGCCTGGCTCGAGAACCACTGAATTGAAGGGAAATTAGGGATTAAAAAATAAAAAACAAAGGATTACTATAATTGATCAAGAAGAATTGAAATTTCTGGATGCTTATTTCTTGTCTATTATTTTCTGTCTCCATCCCCGATGTGTGTTCTTTATAGCATCTGTTACCACTTAGAATTATTTAAGTTATTTGTTTAAAACAAAACACAACTAGATTTGAGCTTTCATCTGTTTTCTTCATATCTTGCTGTGCTCTTAGTAAGGGCCTGTTATATTCTTGGCATTGAATATTTATATGTAATAGATATGAAATTATAAATGATGAATGAAAGCATTCTAAATTAGATTATTTTCAGTTAAAATATAGCAAATTTGTTTTGTAACTGTGACAGGAGTTTGCCACTTGCATCTTTGAAACTAGCTTAGTAGACAATAATCTGCAGCCATATTTACAGAAGGCACAAATATACTATTCCAATGGATAATTCATATTAAAACTTTAGTAAGACTAGCAGAATATATCATAAGATAACTCAGTGAAGGTATTTTTGAAGGGAATTGAAACATTATAATCTTATCTGCCTCGGAGAATTATGGTTAAGTTTCTCCCAAATTATATTTCATATATGAGAGATCTTATAAACATTGGTATATGTGTTGTATGCCAGGTGCTAGGGATACAAATACTGATGGCCTGAAAGCAGAGATTTCAGGCTATGCCAGACAAGTGCATTTATGTTACTGAGTGTGACTGTTTCATATTGGCTAGAGCAAGAATAGAATGCTTTGTTTCCTGTGTTGATGAGGAAAATTGATGCTCTTACTGTGACATTGAAAGAGCCAGACTAATATGCCCATCCTCCTGACAACTATTTCCCCGTGAACAGCAGAACTTTCATGTAGAGCTAATGTTTTCCTCAGAGGAGAGTTCTTGACCTTGACAAATAGTATTTACTTGAGAACCCAAATTTCTGTATTGACTAATGCGGAAGAGACAAGATTTACCTGAAGGAATAGCTGACATTTATGAAGACTTACCAGACTTGGTCCTAAGTGACTGAGTGCTCACACCAAACTTATGAGCTTGCCACTCTTCTTATCTCCATGGGAAGACCAAGACGTGATTCCAGAGCCAGCTCCATTAACCCTCCTAGCCATTGCCCCCTGGAGAACATATTCTCAAGCATCAAGCATCAAGATTGTGGTTTTCTCTAACTATGCTTAACATCTCATTTTCAGCAATTCCAGGAAGGCCAATAAAGGTTTCTTTAAAAAATGATTCATCTTTCAGAGGCAGAGATCATATCTTTTATTTTCCACGGTTTTGTGCTCATTAAAGATGTACTTAATACATACCTGCTAATTGATTGGAACTTTAATTTTTTGGTTATTATGAGACTGAACACCACTTTGAACAGGTTTTTCATGAACTGAATTGATTTTCTGGAACATAATTAAATTTGTGAAACAATCTTGGCGAGTGAGAAATGGTAAACCCGTTGCCAAGTGCTGTTCTGTTTTATGAAAGTGAGCTCTTCAAGTGTATAACATTAAGAGAAGTTTTGCCACCTTTCGGTGTTTTCATAAGTGTTATTACGTTGTGGGTACAAAATCAATGAAAAAACGAACAATTTTAATCCACAGTTTTCTTTGTATTTTGTTAACGATAAGTGATTATTGTTTTTAAATAGCAAAGACAGCTTCATTGTTTTTAATCAGCAAAGGTTTTATTTTATATATGGCTTTCAAATTAGTTCATGTGAAAAGATTTATTAATCCATTATTATTATGATTAAAAACAAAAGCAGTATGTTCACTTATTAGAGTTCAGCTTTTGTTGCCAAAATAGACAAGTCTTGTCATCATTTTAGACTTTTCAAGGGAGAATCTAACCTCAGTACTTCAGTTTGTGCTTTTAAGTGATTCACTTTTCACTGTTTTTCTCTTGCTTTGGCATGACCTTGATTTGGCATGATCTTATGGCACAACCAATCTGAAATCACAGAATCATGTTTTAAGAAAATCCCCGAGGTTCAGTCAATGGCATGTGCATAGTGAGCCAAGAGCCGGTTATTGGGGAACACTGGGCAATTATCAAATGGGAGCCTCTTCATAACGTGCCGTGCAGCTGTGCTGGGGCTTCGTTGGAATGAGTATTAGCAGAGACTCCTGAGTCTGTCTGCAGGGACCCCTGTGAGCTCTGTAAACATTATGTCCTTGCTTTATTCCCATACTTACTCTTTTCAACATGTGAAGAGCGATGTTTTTGTGTTTGGACGACGTTCTGTTTCTTTTATTTTTCACTCCAAGGACCTTGGAATCCACCTAAGGAGGCTGGCCCGGGTTTCTGTTTCACAGACAAATTACCAACTTTATTATGCTCTTAGTCAGCGGTACTAAAGAGCACATTTTAACTGTCCCCCCTCCCTACATCTCCTTCATTTTATTGTCTGCCTCGGGTTTTCTTTGACTTTTTCCTGGTTCTTTACCGCCTCATCACTTTTGCTGGGTTCCTTCTCGCTGGCTCCCGTCTTTGGCTTCCTTGGCTTCGTTCCGTTCAGCATAGTCATGCAGGTCTCAGCCCACAAGTCTGTTCATTGAAGTCATCCTTTGTCTTCTGAATTTGGTAGCACTTACTCTCATTTCTCCTGTTAGAAAAAATAATAATGATTCTCATGTAATATTTTGAAATCATATTTCATACGTTCTCCGAAAAAGTAATTCAGATGACTACATTTAAGTCTTTTGAAAGTATGCTTGCTCTTTCGGTGTTAATTTCACTGACGTTTTCTCTGGTAAAACTGCTTAGGAATTTAATATGTTTTTAATTTGAATTGTCTTTTGGTTTTCCTGCATTTCGAAAGGTCAGTATGTAGCTGTAACTTGCATTTTGAGCATCCATGAAAGTGAGTACCTCATATTTACAGAATCCATGACGTTGATCTTCTCAAATCTTCTCTTACAGCGTATAGCTTTGTGTGTCAATAAAAAGTAGTGATTTTAAAATTTCTAATCTTAGCTCTTTATTTTTGAATTTTTTAAATATCCCAAAACTTATTCTTAATTACCACATGACACTTTTTTGATATGCAGGTTTGCCATGCAGAACTTGAATTGGGGACTTGTTTTCAAGCCATAAATAGCAGGATTCAGTTACAGATTCTTGAGGCACAATACCTTCCAAGCTCATCAACACCTCTGACTTTGAGTAAGTATATCAGTGGTTCAAAGTGGAATCTTGAGAAAATATTGGTAAAAGGTAGTTGTTTTTTTTTTCTATATTCCTTACAATGAAGATTAAAATCTTAGTTACATTTACTATTAACTTAAATACTTATCTTTTAACTTAAAATTATTTTATTGGATTTCAGATTTTGCTATTAATTCTACTTTAATCCACTTGTCTCTTGATTCTTATCCAATTGCGATTTTCCTGCATTTGAGGCTTTTTCTTATTTGCTCAATTAATATAGGTTGAGTGTCCAGAGGACTGTCAGATATGTCTCACCAGCCTAGATAATTTATCCTCTCTCTAGGTCTGTGCCCTTCATTGGATATTCTGCTACCACAGACACTTAATTTAAAAAAACAAAAATGTCAAACATAACCCTCGAAACGCTTTTCCCTCCTTGCCCTTTGGACATAAAGGCTTGTATAAGCCTAGGTCACAAGGCCACTCCTGGAGCTGGAGGTTTGAGGTCAGCCCTAAGGGGCTTAGGGTAGGGTAGGAGTACTCCTTTTTCCTACCAGAAGAAGAGAAACTATCTGGAGGCAGGCAAAAGCAATGGACTGCAACTAGAGAGACTGCAAATAAATACAACTGAGCGTTCAATTAAAGGAGCTAGAAATACAGCAAACACAAAGGAAAGCAGATGTAAGGAATTGAAGCCAAAGTTGAAGTTGATAAATATTGAGACGACAGCGAAAGACATAATCAGTAAAACCAAAAGCTGCTTCTTTGAAAAGAACATTAAAATAGACAAACCTATAGTAAGTTGGATCAAGCCAAAAAAAAAAAGGAAAATGAACAAGGAAGAGGATATAATTTTAAATTCAAAAGAGATTCAGTAATAACTAAGACCATACCATTTATAACTATACAAATTATTTGAACATCTATATAAATTAAATGATTTTTTTAAGGAAAAAATTACGGAAGTTTACCAGAAAAGAGTGAAAATCTGAATAAAACAATAACTATTTAAATGTAGTTAAAGAACTGCCTCTAATAAAAGCGCACTAGGCCAAAATAATTTTGCTGGCAGATTCTAGCAAACTTTCAAGAAACATATAGTTTCTATTCTATGTAGGCTGTTCTAAAGCATGAAAAAAGTCAAAAAAAAGTGACTTTATGAGGTTCGCATATTCTTGGTTATCAAAACAGAAGGGATAGTACACACACAAAAATTAGCTCTAGACGACCATCACTTATGTGGATAGATGGGAAAATCAAAGTAAGATATAAGCAAATAAAGTCCACCTTTACATTAAAAGAATAAATTACCAGAACTACAAGGGGTTAATTCTAGGAACCAAGAACGATGGTGAAAATCTATAGATGTAATTTATTACATTAACAGGTGTCTTCCTTTAATCGAAACTGCTAGTCAGGATTCCCAGTGATTTCTGTTTTGTGATCCTAATGCTCAGTCTCCATCCTCACTTTGCAGCTCCCTCCTTTCCGGAAGCTCCATTCTCCCTTTCTTGCTGCCCTGGCAGCCTCAGCTCTATCCTGCGATGCTCAAGTTAGATTGTACTTTCTGCTTGAGCTGTAGGCACTGTGTGTTAGAGTTTGGAGAATGCTTAGGTAGAAAGCCGTATAAACCTCCATTTCACCCAGTGCAGTTTCCATGTTTTAAGAGTTGAGAGTTGACTCTCCAGTTTCCTTCTGCTTTTGGTCAGTCTTAAACAGTTACATGTATATGTATATGTATATGTATATGTGTATGTGTATGTATGTGTATATATGTATATGCATATATATATGCATATGCATATGTATGTGATATGTATATGCATATGTATATGTAAATATATGTGTATATGTATACATACATATATTTTTTTCTTTCAGATTTTATACTTGATATCTATAGGAAAATTAGTTTGTATAAGCGATTATACCATTACTGAAAGCTCTACATTTCAAATTTATTTAAAGAATAGATTTCCTCTGGTGATCATATGTTTAACTTCTAGAGTCTCAAGAAAAGGATTTTACCTCTATAAAATTATGAAATAAATTTCCCCAGCCATCTAGAGAGTTGGGATCCCTCTGTTGTGTAATCTTTTGCAACGTGTACTCCTTTGCTGCTGACCGTTATTTGTGTCTACAATTCCAGCCTTTAAGGGCATTCAGGTTGGAGGAAGATTAAATTTATTTGGGGTTACAGTAGTTAATTTTAAATCATGATAAAAATGATCAAGTTTACTAGAAATGTTTTCTGTTAGGGCGAATAGCTCATCAGATCTTTAAAAGAGGCTTATTAGTATTTTTTACAGTAAACATATAGATACGTATCTTTATATGGTATTTTGGATAAAATTTTATATATCAAAGTTTCTTATTTTTTAGGTTTTTTTGTGAAGGTGGCCATGTTTAGCTCTGGAGAGTTAATTTATAAGAAGAAGACACGCTTACTGAAGGCTTCCAGTGGAAGAGTAAAGTGGGGAGAGACTATGGTTTTTCCACTTATACAGAATGAAAAGGAAATTATTTTTCTCATTAAGCTTTATAGTCGAAGCTCCGTAAGAAGAAAACACTTTGTGGGGCAGGTTAGTGGGGAGTTTTTATCTTGAATTCTTTCCTTGCACTTCCTGTGCATTTAAACAGTTGGTGAACAAAGAAAATAGAGGGTAAAATTGAAGTTAATGGGTAAAATTCTTCAGCATCATAAGCTAAAATTCAGTGTTGCCACTTGTCAGACGTTTTGCTTTAATACAAATAATTGGAGTCATCAGGCCCATCTTAAAATAAGTCTTTGTTTTTTAAATAATCTTTACATTTTTATTCGTAATAAGAATAAGTCTTTTTGGAGCTTTTCAACTTTAAAAACTATAAGAGTAGTTTTTCAGTCCTGCTGACTCATATCTTGTGAAGGGGGAACACTAAGTATTTAAATCGAATTTCTTAAAGATTCACACATCCAACTTTAATCTGTTTCATGTCTAATTTAATGTTTAACTCTGTCTGCTGTCAACTAAGTTATGTTAGATTTGAACTCATAGAAAACATCAGTTTTAACAGTAGTCGTGATAATGTTTAGATAGTTGATACTGGTTTCTAGATTAATCTCTTTAAAAATACTTAGTGATTTGCATAAGACAATATCACACTTGCCTGCTCGCTTTCTTTTCGTCATTTCTTTCTTTATTCTGAGTGCATTAGTGGTAGCTGTCATTTATCTTTTCTCTCCAGTACAATTATTTGACTCACATTTAAATTCCAAAATCTATATTATTGGTTTAAAAGCTTCTACTTGATGTTATTAGTAGTCTACATGAGATTCTCAAATTATATGTGAATTTTCAAAGATCGATATTAACTGGCTCACTTTACCTATAATATTTGTAAAAAATATTATAGTTTTTTCTTCATTTATTCTTATTCAAAAAGAGTTCAAACTCAAGAATTCCTATTACTAGCATACTTTCAAAGCCATGACACCTATGAAGTGAATTCAGTTAAAGTTTTCCTATATTGTCGAGTCTCAACCATCATGTATGAATGGAATAGGAGATGTACTTGACAGATTATTGTCGGGATAACTTTTTTGATCATTCTACTTTCTCGTTGAGATTCTAGTTAAGAATAATAATTCCGGAAAGCTTCTTGCTGGTCATCCATTCCCTATGGCCTCTCTGGTAGCCTTAGGAGCCACCATGGTGGAGCAGCCAAATGTTGATTAGGGTCTCCCATTCCTATGTCAACCGAAGCAGTCTCATGTTATCCGTTTTTATGTTGGCGTTGTTTGTAAGATTTTATTAGAAGAAAAAGTTCTTCAGAACAAGAAATTGAGGGAGAAAAGTTTAAAAACCATTGCGTGACCTGCTTTAATTACATTATTTAGAATTAGAAACTGAGTATCGAGAAGTTAACAGCAAAGTAACAGCATTTGTTATTGCTAGAACTGAGGTGAGAATTCAGGGTTTTTGATTCCTTGTCCACCTTACCTCTATGATATGTAACCATTGTGATATTTACATTTGCATAGTACTTTACAGTTTTCCCCAGTTCATTCACATCTATTTAAAGTTACATAAGTGATAGGTACTATGAAATTATTTACTGTGGATCAAGAATGACTATTAGATTTCCATTAAAATTACAGTTTTATTTAATGTGCAAGTTGCTGAAAAATACATATTCCTTACTAATCTAATTTAAAAATCATGATTATTCTGAGTTAATCTTTACAAAAATGTTTTTAAGTGATTGAGATCAATTTTAAGTTGAGCACCTAAATTTATTGAATAAGATAGGACACTAATAACTTTGGGGGAAATGATTTTGTAATATCTCATATTGAAATTTTAAATTGGATTGGATCATATAAAATAGTCTTCAGAGTGAATAAATAGGTTAAATGTTTTCACATTTAATTTTCAAATTAGAGAAACTTTTGGAAAAACAAGACCTTTAGTTGAAAATGTGTAAACCAAACTTCCGATTGTCTTTCATTAATAAGAGTGATTAACTGTTTGAACTCAGTTACCATTATCGTATAAAGTTAAATGGTTATACTGTTCCTTTACAGATTTGGATAAGTGAAGATAATAGTAACATTGAAGCAGCGAACCAGTGGAAAGAGACAATTACAAATCCAGAAAAGGTTGTTATCCAGTGGCACAAACTAAATCCATCTTGAAGACTTCACATATTCATTTGGTGAAGAACTTGACATTCTTTTAGAAGACTTATGATTTCAGCTTTCTACAATGAGAATAGACAAATCATTATATGTGTGAATTCATTTGTGGAGGTCACAATTATGGTATATGACAGATCTGATAGAAAATTAAACTTAATAAAGAAAATGGTAATGAATTATATCAGGTATCCAAAGTAAAGAAAATGTTTTAAAACTGTGCCAAAATAGGCAATAAAGTAAAAGGGTAGTATTGTTAGGGCAACTGAATAAATTATAAAATCAATAAGACTATCAACCATCGATAATTACTGCCGTATTATGTTAATAGGGTTATTTTTTTAAGCTTTACCTAGATATTCAAAATCTAGTATATCAAGTGTCTGTTAGTACTATTAGACATTTAGAAGACTTTACCACTGTCTCAGCGCTAGTCATTATTGATTATATCTTGACTTCACTACTTCTTGCTAAGTCTTTCTTTCAGAAAGCAAAAATGAATTGAACCACTTCAACTCCTATATTTGGGGAAAGTTCGTGCCCTGTGTTTATCATTTCTCCCCCAGAAAGTATCACATTGCCAGTTTGTAAGCCGTTTATGTCCAAGAAACTTTAGATATAGAAAACTACATTTTGGCAAGAAAAATGAAAACACCAGAGGTTGACATTTGATTGGAAATCCAGTATACACACATTTAATTATATATTCTATATATTTTTTCTCTCTCAGATAATTTACTCTTTATTTTATTTGGAGTCAAAATAAGATTATCATTCCTGTGACCCATCCTGATTAGCAGAATTAAATGAGTATAAATAGCAAATTCAGTATTTTGTGATAATCACTTCCTTGTTTTTAGTTTTTCAAATGTAAATTACTTATTCTGTAATTCACAGTGTTAGACTATTTTCCTATTTTTAAAAAGTAGCCATACATGATAACACTATGTAGCAAATATTTTCTATTGCAGTTTCTCTCAGGTACTCATTAAAACTCAGTAGGTGGGAGTAATTGTAGTTTAGTTGGCCATATAAGCTGTAGCCAAGAAGAACAGCTGTTTGGAGAAATAAATAAGGCCATCCTTGATCTGGGAAAATTTGACTTTATTTTTGCTCTGTGTTCATGGTCTTCTGTTTTCCTTTCTTTCTTACCCCACACCTTCCAGGAGGTAGGTGGTTTAGGCCAGAGGTGTACTTTGCTATAGGTTAAGCATCCCTCTATTCCAGTTCTTATGTTCTGTATGTCTTATTAAGATTTAACAAAATAAACACTTAATTCCCCTTTTTTTAGGTATTACCTACCTCCTCAAGCTTTAAAATGTACATCTTTACATGCCCTTTGCTTCTAGAGTTTATGGTGTTGACAGGTGCTTTCTGTGCATTTTGAAATAATTTTTTTTAGATTGGTGAAAATTTACATATTGGTCAGTATTCATATGGACTTTTAAGAGAAATCACCTTGTATGGTAGTTGAATCTTTGAGACAAAAGGCAACGATTTAAAAATTTTTTTTAAATAGATTTTATTTTTTAGACCAGTTTTAGGTTCACAGCACAATTGAGAGGCAGGTACAGAGAATTCCCATATACCACCTCCTCTACTATTAGCATCTGACACCAGAGGGATGTTTGTTAAAATCAAGGAACCTACATTGACACATCATTATCACTCAAAGTCCATGGTTGACTTTTAGTGTTGTGCATTTTATGAGTTTGACAGGCACATAATGACATGTATTCACCACGATAGTATCATACAAAGTATTTTCACTGCTCTAAAAATCCTCTGCAAATGCAACTATTTTAATAGCCACCAAAGAAAGAAGTGTATTGGCTTTTAGAAAAAAAAAAACAGACTTTATTGTTTTAAGAAATCTAGAATTTCATTTGAGCAGTTTTTTGTGTTCTGTTAATGCTTTCAATTCCTAAATTTATTATATATAGTTATGTATTTAACTCAATTTTTCATTATTTAATTTTCAATATTTTACAATATGTATATAATTTGAGGGAAAGCTATGACTTCGTAGTTTCTTGTATGTTTTAAGAATTCTAGATAAATGAAACAATGAAAAGAAAACCTTTTCATTTAAAATTTCTTTCAGTTAGAGAAGTATCGATACAACTAAGATCCCAAATATTTTAATTAGTGTTTATTTAAGCCTTTTCCAGGTAAGGAGGTACCAAATAGAGATAATATTCTGATTGTTTCTTTGAAGCTTTATGTGGAAATATAAAAAGAAACACACTCTTCTGTTAATAGTTTCTCATATTATGAGAAAAGCATTAGAAGCTAGTAATAAAAAATGAGATACTATGCAAAAATCACTTCTGTTTGTATTTGCTTAGGCATTTCTTGACCTTTGCTTACTTATAACAAGGAGAAGGGAACCAAAATGATGCTCAGTGACCAGAGAAAGTCATGGAAATGTTCACAGTGATAGCTAATAGTTGACAATGCCATTCTCTAACAGTGTATTTACTTATAAGATTTCACATTGATAACAAATAGCTGCCGTCTATGTCAAGACGTAGCATCACTAGATGGCTTTCATTTAGTTTTGCATAATTTTTTTTTAGCATAACTCTTGGAGAAATTAACCACAAAAGTGTATTAGTTCCAGCTCTTATCAGACTGTTAAGAAGGAACAAGTGGGATTTTGAACATATGTTATATAATTGTGGTCTGAAATAAGCTAAACTGAACTTTTGTTTGAATACAGTTATGTGAATTTCTCTGATACTAACGTACTGAAACTATATTGCCTAGCAAAAATTCCATTGTTTGCTTAATCAGATAATTGTCTGTTTATGAAGGATTTCAGAAATTTGCAGTTAATTTCAGCTTTTTTATATGATAGCAGTTATGAATATTTAAAGATACACATCTCTTCTCGCTGTGTTATCAGTCTGGGCAATCTCATCTATTCCCGTGGCTTCAAATGCTGTCTACTGGCCAAAGGCTGTCAAATTTATATCTCTACCCAAATCTTGTTAATGAGCTCCACTATCATTTGGCTCATGTAGACATCTTTCCTTGAACATAATCCCAAACCAAACTTTTGATTTCCCATTCCAAATCCAGTCATTACTGTTCCCCATCGAAGTGAAAGGAACTGTCATCTACCTGGTCGGTCACCCCAAAAACCTAGGCAACACCTTGGAGCTCCTCTGTCTCTCTCATCTCATAACTTGATCGTTCTATTCAGAAATGCACATCCTAAGTAGACCCGGAGTCCACCTACGGCTCCACTGTAACTTCTCTAACTGAAGACAGCATCATTGCCCACCTGTAGTACTGTTTCCTCCCTATAATTGGTCTTCCTGCCCCCTCTTCCTTCCCTCTAATTTAGTCTCTACCTTATAGCCTGAGTGATATTTTTAAAATACAAATATGATCGACACTCCTTAGTTCCCACTGTTCTTGGTGTGAGGTCCAAAATCCTGAACACAGTATACAAGGCCCTGCACAGCTTGAGCTCTGCTTTCCATTCCAGCCTCATCTTGAACCCTTCCCACTGGTCAGTTTTCAGTTCTCACAGGACAATACACAGCTGGCTTCCTCGGGACCTTTACGCAAGTCGTTTCATCTGTGTGGAATACTTTTCACTCTTTTCTTTGCTAAATCCTACCCTTTTTTTTCAGTTGCTAACCTAAATGTCCCTCAGAATAGTGTTATTTTATATCTTAGGTATTGTTAGATCCTATTTTCATATATGATTTTCCTTTATAGCTTTTATCATAATTGTGATTAAATAATTACATAACTTTTATCTAATGTTTCTTCTGCACTGCAATTTTCATGAGAGCTGGGTCGTGTTTATTGCTGCATTCCTGAGGCTAGCACAGTACCTGGCATGTAAGAGGTACATGGTAAATATTTGTGTATTCATTTAACCGATAGGTAGTGTTTTTGGGTGTTAAGGATATAGCAGTGAATAAACAAAGAAATTAATGAACATGTTGAGTCACGCTTTATTGCTCAGTAAAGTGGTAATTGAAGGCCAATATCTTGTTGAGAGAGATAATGCTGGATTATACATTAGTACATTTACTTGTAAAATTAATTTATGTATTTCTTAAAGAGAAATATGATAGACTCATACTATGAGGTATGGTCTAGGAAAAATACGCCTATAATAATAAAGCCTAGGAAAAAAATAATTTCTTAACTTCTGGGCAGTGTTTTTAACACATAATGCTAACACATAATCTATTTCGTAGATTGCTAAACACATAATGCTAACATAATCTATTTCATAGATTGCTAAAATATTTGTCAGATTTTAACTTATTGTTGCATGTCAACAGCTTAATATTATATCATTACCAAGTACAAAAGTTGTATTAATTTATTTAAAACATTTCTTTGTTTTTCAGGGAACCAGGTAAATTTGATTCCTGTATAAAATTGGAAGCATATTTTATGTCCAACTTTGAAAATTTCATATAAGATGTAAATAACCTATTTAAGTTATTTAGCAGCCTAAACAGGATTCATAAGACTTCTGCAGAAAAAAAGATGAGTAGCAGATTGCTTAGTTGACAGTTCTATCTGGAAGGATAGAGTGAGAATTTTGGAGACCTTTTCTGACAGAATTTAAGAAAGGGATTCAGGGAAGAGGCTATAGGAGAAGCTAGCCTAACCCCACATACATCTCAGTACTAAGGACGAGTCCTCGCAGATAATGTCTAGAGATAAGGAAGGTGGAGAGGATTGATGAGTAATGTTTCTTGACTCATCATGAAAAAGGAACCCTGGGAAGAGGAAGAGATGGGAAGCCAGAAAGAAGAGAGGCTTGTAAGAGGAAGAAAAGCTTATGGAGAACAGTTAAGGATGGAAAAGTAGCAAGGTAAGGATGCAGCCGTGTAGTGAACTCTAAGTGAGTTGCCTAATGCTGTATGCTTTTTCTTTTTTCATATGTCACCTTGTGATAATTCAGATTTCCTTCAGAAGAATGTATACAAAATTCTTATACTATTCTTCCTTTTCCTTTCCTCCATCCTTCCTCCATCCCCTCCTTCCCCGCTCTCTCCCCCTTCCCTGCTGTTTACCAAAACTCATGCTGAAGTTTGGCTTTCTTCATAGAAAATCTGAAAACTCATTTGGTCTATGATAATAAAATCACTGACCATGTCTGGAAAAAGACCTGAAGAGTTTTCTAGTATAAATGCCCATCTACCTAGAACATAGGGATATTTTTGAACAAATATTTATTGAATAGCCACTATGTATCTCATTTTAGGTGCGGGGAATACACCTAATAAGTAAAAACTTTGCCCTTATAGAGTTTCTGTTACAGTGAATATATCAGAACACACAATATTTCCTAATACAAGTTGATGGATTTCATGCAATGAATGAGCAAATAGAAAATCAGAAAATCTTTTCCTGGTCTTTCCTTCTGTGTGACTGTTTCGTATACTAATTGTCATCGTTTAGTTTGCTGCTATCCTAGTTTCCTTCAGATGCTCATGTTTGTAATATATTGATGAGTTATTATCTAGGGTATTGTTTTTTTTCTTTTAAAGATGTTATTTTCCTTGAACTACTGAGCTAAAACAATCACCTTTTGAAAAGAACCACTTCAGAATTCTAAACCTAGGGAAGTGTTATAATTATTTTAAGAACAACCCACTTGTAAATTAGTTTTTATCAGGCTTTAAAAGGCGGTAGAGATGAAATTGATTCTCTAAATGTAAATTTGTTTTTATTGACTTTAGACAAAAAAGGCAATGGACATCTTTGTATTGTAGTGGATTATTTTTAGAGTGCTTGGGAAGACCAAAGAGAAAATATGTTCAATTTCTGCATTTACTTTCTTTGTGTGTGTGTGAATTCACATTTACTCTCCTCAGTGTAGTCACATACGTTAAACCTTTTCTCTCTTTTTAAGGCTGGAAGAAAAAGGAAAGGAAGGCAAAAGGCATCAGAAACATTTTCTTAAAATGTTAAAGCTAGATTATTTATTAACTGAGTACAGTTTATTTCTCTGGGATACTGAAAAAGTACTCGAGTCTTTTCTAAAAACATTTATTTTTTCTTAAAGATATCCTTTTTTTTTTCGAAGCATATGGGCAAGACAGAAGGAAGGGTGGGCTAAAGATAGTAGGCTTTTGCAGGGAAAGAAAGTCACATTGAAAGGTAGGATTTGGCTAACAGTGTGTGTGTGTGAGTGTGTGCACGCTCGCGTGTGTCCATGCACGCAACACACATGTCCTTTATCTTGTAGAATTAGAAAAAATAGCATCTGTTTTCTTGAAAATGAGGGAGAGTAAATGATTCCAACAGGGCTGGAAGAGTGATAGAAACATTATGACAGATTTGATCACAGTCAAGTTTCTTTTCCCAGTCTAAAAAAAACTAACCTTGAGAAATAAGGGAAAAGTTTTCCCTTTCCTAGTCCAAAAGAAAGTAACAAAACAGGAAAAATGTTTGGATTGATGGCTTTGTACTTTCGGGTTAGAGTATATCCTTCTATTGGGCAGGAATTGCTCATTGTGTCTAGGACTCTATTTCTGCTCAGTAAGTGACAGTGAGTACTCTAGGGGTTTCTATTCCTGGTTCCTTCTTGAGAGCTGAGAGAATTAAGAAAAAACTTTCCCCAAATATTATCTGGGTATATGAAAACAAGATAATAGTTTTTAATAGTTTTTGACTTTTTTTCTTCTACAGCATACCTGAGAGTTATGACACGTTCATCACTAACACTGTGTCTGTTACAGTGGCAATAATTTGTACCCAGGTTAAGAGTCTTGAAAAAAGCCCTCTGAGTGATTTTGTTATACCTCTCATAGAATTCACGAAGTAGGTAGACCGTAGTGAAGTTCATACACATACCCAGGCTATCAGTTTTGTGTGGGGGGGAGTTCAGTTTTTTTTATTATTTTGGTAAAGTACACATAACATAAAATTTACCATCTTAACCATTTTTAAGTGAATGGTTCAGTGGCATCAAATACAAAGTTCTGCAGACATTGCCACCACCCATCTCCATAACATTCCCATTTTGTAATACCCAAGAAATTCCTATTCCTCCCCAGCCCCAGGCCCTGGCAACCACCATTCTGCTTCCCATCCCTCTGATTTTGTCTACTCTCGGTCTCTCATGTAAGTGGAATCATACAGGATTTGTCTTTTTATTACTGGTTTATTTCACTTGGCTTCATGTCCTCAAGTTTCGTCTACATTAGAGCATATGTCAGAATTTTCTTCCTTTTTAAGGTTGAATAATATTTTGTCGTATGTAGATGCCACATTTTGCTTATCAGTTCCATCAACAATGGACACCAGGGTTGCTCCCATGTTTTTTAGCTATTGTGAATAATGCTTTTCAAGCACTGGTGTACAAATGTCTCTTCAAAACCCTGCTTTCAATTCTTTTGTGTGTATATTCCTAAGTGGAAGTCTGGATCATGTGGTAATTCCATTTTTAATTTTTTGAGGAGCCACCATACTGATTTTCACAGTCGCTGTACCATTTTGCATTCCCACCAACAGGGTGGGAACAACAAGCATTCCAAATTTTCCACATCCTCACCAACACTTACATATATATATATGTTACAAATATATATATTTGCTAATAGCCATCCTAATCGCTGTGGGGAGGTATCTCATTGTAATTTTGATTTACATTTCCCTAAAGAATAGTGATGTTGAGCATCTTCTCATGTGCTTATTGGCCATCTGTATATCTTCGTTGGAGAAATGTGTCTTCAAGTCCTTTGTCCTTTTTTG